ACTGTCCCCGTGGTTTTATGCACCCCGCATAATTTAGTAAAATTTGATCTTTTTGTGTGCATAATAATTTCTGATTATTTTTCCTTTATCATTCTTTGTTAAAATTAACAGAATCGCTTAAATTCACATTTTTGGGGCTCAGTTTGCATAATTTCAGAATTTTTCTTGCATAAAACGACGGGGACAGAACAGAGATAGTAAACAGGTCAAGTTGCTTCCCAGGTCGCTCGAAGCGTGACACTCGCAACTGAGTTATGCAGAAGAAATGTGTATTCTCCGGGCCCCACGGTTATTATAATAAATAATAAATAGCATTCACTACCCCAGAATTACGTAGCTCTGCCTGCTCAGTGCCTAGTTTTGAGACACCTGACATACTATTAGCCAATTTTGAGTTTCACAACTTAATTATAATGTCAGTTAGTTTAGTACAGACTTCACGGCGCTCGCAACTGCATAAGGTCATATGAGCGCCAGAAAATTAGAGGTGTTACAAGAGAGTAACAAACATAAAAAAGAAGGAGGGGGAGATAAGGACGATAGATGTTTGATATAGGAAAGAAGGAGCAAACCACACCAGAGCACCCGCCAACCAGCCACAATTATAATATACCAAGTGTTTTCGAATGCAATAATTTGGATGCGTAGTATCTTGATAAAGCTGTCCCCGTTGTTTTATGCACCCCGCATAATTTATTAGCAAAATTTTATCAGTTTTTGCATAATTTCTGATTATTTTCCTTTATCATTCTTTGTTAAAATTAACAGAATCGCATAATTTCACATTTTTGGGCTCAGTCTGCATAATTTCAGAATCTTTTTGGCATAAAACCACGGGGACAGATTAGGCTCAGTCTTGTCAAGTCCGAGATCTTTCTATGTTCGCAACCCTGGTTGTTGTTGTTGTTGTTGTCAATCCATCAATCCACCAATCCTGCCTGTCTGAGATGGGTGTCCAACTCGAAGTTCCTGCTTCATAAAACTCCTAAAACTAATACTAATAGTGTTGATAGGTGAGTTCACCCCTTACACTTTAAAATACGTTTCAGTTTTAATTTTAGTATTTAAAAGTTTTAAAGCACTTCTAGCACAACTAGGTCATATGATGCCCAGGATTAGTAGAGGTGTTACTAGACAGTAACATGCCAAGAAAAAAAAGAGAGATACAGACGACAGACGTTTGATAAGAAAGAAAGAGGAGAGATACAGACGACAGACGTTTGATAAGAAAGAAAGAGGAGAGATACAGATGATAGAGTTTGATAAGAAAGAAAGAGGAGAGATACAGATGATAGATGTTTGATCAGAAAGAAAGAGGAGAGATACAGATGATAGATGTTTGATCAGAAAGAAAGAGGAGAGATACAGATGATAGAGTTTGATCAGAAAGAAAGAGGAGAGATACAGATGATAGACGTTTGATCAGAAAGAAAGAGGAGAGATACAGACGATAGAGTTTGATAAGAAAGAAAGAGGAGAGATAAGGACGATAGATAAGAAAGAAAGAGGAGAGATAAGGACGATAGACGTTTGATAAGAAAGAAAGAGCAAACCACACCAGAGCACTTGCCGAA